TTTCCTAGATCCTCCTGAAAAATGTTCCCACAATAAGGGTGAGTCATAACTCAATAGGTGCGAATGGAGTTCAAATAAAACTTAGAATCAAGAGAAGAAAACTATAGCATGCTTTAGTGTTTTAACAAAATAATCATTAATATATAACAACTTTTGTTCAAAGAGATGCATACCTTTACCTCAACCCTCAAGTGCTTATACCTTCCATATCATTTCCTTTCTTCCTTTTTTATAACATTGTGCCTCAAATGATAATCTCAAATGCATATAACATGAGTATAAAATGTTCATAATAGCTTAATATGTAAATATAATACCCGTCTCGGAAGTATCACTTGTACTGATCAGGTACATAAAATTGGTCATTCCTTTACCATTGGTTCATAAGAACCATCCTTTATCATGGTTCATATGAGCCTCCTTTACCATTGCTCAAAGGAGCATCCTTTACCATGTGATACTTCCGCGTCAACATGCACATACATTTAATACTTTCATAATCATAAGAGATGCTTTATGTAAACTATTTATAAACTATGCAAGTGTATGTTTCCATAGGGATATGCGTGCTTACTATGCTAATGTGTGCATTTGCATGTAAAGAGGAAAAATATGTGTAGTAAGAGTAAAGAAATGAGTATGGGATTCATTTATGAGTTATACAATTGCATAAAGAGAAACATTTGCATTTTCTTCAAGTGTCTATGATCTTTTACAAAAGAACATGAGTCATAAAAATATCATAATAAGCATAAAAGAATTTGTCATTTATATGTAATTGTAATGAAAGAAAAGTTGACTAAATTTATAAGAACGTCCATTCCACCTACCTTAATTTGTGCACCACAATGCGAACCTTCAAAAATTCTTACGCCCTTTTCCTCTTATGAAATCAAACTCTACAAATGACAAAACATAATGTGTAAACATAAGTTTCCTCCCTCAAACCTTAAAAGAAAAACCATAGGCAAAGCATGTAGCTAATCAACACATCAAGCATTGGTTTTTTATAAAATCCCTCACTTAAGCCATGCTAATACCACTATATATACACTAGAATTAGGATTTCATCCAAAAAAACTAATTCAATTCTTTGCTCACCACAATCACACAACCCTCCTTTCTCCCCTTTAGACTCAAGTTACCAAACAATCATTCATTGGATTTTTCTAATTTAAAATTTAGAAAACAATGATTCTAAGGCTAAAATTCTTGTTTAAAAAAATCTCCCTAAATAAAAAAAGAACAACACACTCAAGGGGTTTCCTTTTTTCATGATTTTTGGAAAAACCATAACTTTAGGGCATGCAAAAATATCTCCTAAAAAGAAATTCGTCTTCACAAAAAAAGTTCCTAATCTCAAATAGAAACTTTTCTACAAAGGCATTTTAATAGAAAATCAAAATCGGATAAAACCCTAGATTTCAAAAATCCATATTTTATAAAAGCAACTCACATTAGGGTTTTAAAAATATCACATTACCTTTCTCTAAGCTTTTCTCAAAGAAATTCAAGTTTTCTCTAAACCCTAGTTTTCATTTCTTAGAGAAAACTCAATGGAAGAAGGAGAAAACTCTTGCAAAACATATACCTTAGTCTTCCCTTGAATTTCCCTACAAGATCCTCCACAAACGGCCGCCGGAACACACCTCTTGGATTGCCGGAAACGCCTCCTACCCGACGCCCCTCCTTCCTCTCTTGCGTTCGGTTCGGGCCGCACGAAAAGAATGGGGGACCGAAATGTTTCGGTCCCCCTAATAAGAGTGGAATACTCTCTTTCTAAGCTCATTTACCTAAAAGCCCTCACTTAAGTAATTTCAACCTTTTAAAAGCTTAGGGGTAAAGTTGTCATTAAGGGTTTTCAATAAATTTTAATTCCCAATATACACAAAATCCGATATGGGTTCTATACATCAAAACGATCAGAATTTTACGCTCCATTTTATAAAATTTATTGCGTCAAATTCCGACAACTTCGAATTTTTTTCACTTAAAACTCGTCGCGGCTCTTTGAAAAGCGTGCGAAGCCTAAAACGGCATTTTGCGAGTTTTATAAGAATCAAGGGTGCCATCAAAGGAAAGGTCATCTATACGGATATTCTTAAGCAGTTGCGCATTGTTATCACCCCAAGTAGGATCTACAGGTTCTCTATGATGCCTAGGGTTGTTATGACGGTAAGGTTCTCGTGGTGGTACGTCTTTGGGTTGACCTTCTTCAACATAAAGGGACGGTGGTCTAGACAGAGTGTAAGGAGCATGATTCCCTATCCTTTCTATGTGATCTAGACGTTCTTCAGCTTGACGGCGAAATTCAGCTAAGTCAATTTGGGCCTCTCTAATTTGTTTGGTAATAGTTCCAAGTTGTCCTACTATTAGGTCTAGAGTTCGCTGAATTTGTTCCGGGTCCATTGGGATACGCTAGGTGACAACTAGGGATACTAAGGTATAAAGGGCAGCACCAAAACCTATATGCCAATGCAATTAATGCTTCCTAAATGATGTTAAGGTGTAGTGGACAGCAAACAAAAATAGAGAATAAGATTCCTAAATAAAATGTTTTGCAAGAACTAAGCCTAAATAATGCTAGGACAAACTCTAAGTTAAACCCTAACACATGCCACTACATGAACCATGCTCTGATACCAAGATGATGTGAAACATGTATGAAAACAAGAATTGCTTTGGAAATTAATAATAATTTGTAATGATTTGCCAATTGTAAACCTTATGTTTCACCAAGTTAGATTCCTGAATTTCCAATTAGAAGTAATGTAATAGCATGTGGTTACAAACGAGATTAGAAGGATACTTGCAATAACAACAAAATAAATAAGTAAAACTAACAGCAATGAATAACAAAAATGCATGTCTTAACAAATAGATATTTTCACCTTTTGTTCCCTCACTCTTGCTCATGAAAGTAATGTCTTAGCTGAGGTAGAATATCAGCAACCCTAATGATGCCACTAAGAGACAAGTGGTACCTACAGTATAGCTCGCCGGAGAGTAGTCGGAGTTGAAGACTTGTTGGACGGTGACCTATGATCCAACGGATGGAGGAGAGGTGATGGTTGCCGGCGGCCGATAGTTGAAAAAGAATTATGTCCACGTAGTCTTCCACGGATTTATCGAACTCGGAATCGAAATCAAAGAAGGTTCATCGACATTCCACGATCTCTCTCTTCTTGGGGACACTTGAAGGTCGACGGCTTGTGGAGAAAGAAGGGAGGGAAGCCGGCGGTTTGGGGAGGGGCTCAGGTAGGGGAGGTGGAGGGAATAATTTAGAAAATCTGAAATCTGATTTCAGGTTTCTAAAGTGAGGAAGGGAATTAATTTTGAAATTCAAAATTATCCCAAATATGGCTAGAGGGTGGGGGGTGGCTAGGGAGGAATTATGGGGGGGTTTAATTAGTGTTTAAGGAGTAAATTGAGGAGAGAAAAGGAGAGAGAGAGGGGGCTGGCTATGTGGGGAGGGGAAATATGAGTTTATGTTCAATGTATGTGGGCCCAAAGGAGTTAATTATTGGTTGGAATCAAATCTGAATTTTAATTTCAAATTTGATTGATTTAGGGAGGCTTCCTAATTGGGTTTTAACAATAGGAAATTACTTGAAATTCAATTATTTAATTGAATTCAAATAAGGATACTTTCCTAAATAACAGTGGGTTATTTTAGGAAGGTAATTAAAAGTAATTTGAATTTTGAAATTCAAACTTTATGGGCTAGGTAGGCCGGCGGCTGGGGGAGATCTAGGGAGGGAAACCGGCGGTTGGTGGGTGGACGCTGGCTGATGGACTGGTGGGATGGGATTTTTGGCGGCTTGGAGTGGAGGCAAGAGGCCAATGGGCTTGAGGAAGGGAGGGAACGGCTAGGGGGGGGGATTGGCCGGCGGATGGGCTGCCGTAGGGGAAAAGGGTAGGTCGGTGGTTGTGGAGGAGGGAGATGGGGGAAGGAAGAAAGGAAAATACGACTGAGAGGTAAGACCTTTCGACGACTATTGGGTATTATTTTGGCCCTCTCCTAGGATTTTCTCTTCTCTCCGAAGCACAAGCAATAAGAGAAATTTTTTATTGATTCAGCATTCACCTCATACAATGCAAAAGACCTCTATATATAGATCTAAATAGTAAAAGAAAAAGAAAGGCTCAAATGCTTTCGGGGCTACAACAAGAACTCACTAATCATAGGGATAAAAAAGAAAAACTAAAATGAATATATATATATATATATATAAGCAATACATGAATACATCAAAAGTAAAGGCTCCAAATCATAGCCATCTATCTACGATTCCTCGGATGATACACATGTCAAAATCTCTGGCTGATGTCCCCATCAATATCTGTATTAGTTTTGTGCCCACGTTATATTTGTAATGGACCTTTGACCCACATGTTGAAAATATGTTATAGATTTCTATTCTTAAAAAATAATAATTAATAAAAAAACTATGAGACCACTTGATGAAATAGCTAATTAACAAGAAATAAATTCATAATTTTTCTTTTGGTGCCAACGATTTTATTCATAATTTTTTTTTTGGGGCCAACGATTTTTTTTTTTTTTTTTTTCTTACCTGACAAACAATATGATCACTAAAAAACAAAGCATAAACAACTATAATACAAATTATATTGGTATTTTCTTCCTTACTCCTGTCCCTCTCCTCTTGCCCTCTCTCTCTCTCTCCATCTCTATTTCGTATTTTTCTTTATGCTGATTTAGGCTTTAGTTGGGACATCATTCTTACTGCTTTTTAAAGCAACTCTTTAGTAAAAAATGTTTTAGACAAGAAATTTTTGGACTATTGGACTAGAAAGCAGTAACAAAACTATCCCAAACGAAGCCTTAATCTGTTCTTATTTTCTTCTCTTTTTTTATTTTATTTTTATTTATTTATTTATTTATTTATTTATTTATTTTTCTATGAAGGGGAATATGCTAACAACCACTAAAGCTCTATCTGAATTTGGTTTAACATCTTTCTTATTGCCCTTAGATGAGACTAGAAGGAGTTTCACCGAACAAGATGAGCCAGTTTGCTGTTGTGCTTGAGGTGCATGATTTCTATCTTTTATAATTCACACATTAGCAATTTATTGAAGCTTCAACCTTTTCTTTTCTTGATGAGGTGATAACATCAGGTTTTTGAAGTTGCTCCTTCACTGTTCATGGTAGATGTTCGGAAGGCTGCTGGGGAAACTCTTCAGTACCACAGGGTCAGTTTTTAAATCTGTTTAATAAGGTTTTTAGTTGGAATATGTTATATTTGCAGACCAATGTATTTCTTTTTGGAATACAGTTAACTTGCAAAAGTTGACAACTTACTAATTAAGATATATTTTTTTACCTGCGCCAAAAATGCTTGAGCTTAATGATAGATTGGTTTGCTTGGCACCTTGCAGTTCTACAAGAATCTTTGTAGTAAGCTGGAGCATATTATTTGGAAACCAGCAGATGGAGCTGATAAATCTGGTATTCTGAAAACGGACGTAGCCTCCATTAGAGAAGAAGTGTAGAAGCGAATAGTGAATAACCTGAATGGATGGCTTTGATCACCGATGTTTTGAGAGTACAAACTAACTTTGTTTAGGATCTGTATAGATCATGAGTGTATTCATCCTCAACAAAGTTGTTCAGGTACATTCCAGATCACAGATTTGTAGCTCCATATTTGTATGAGCTTGCCAATAGCAAAATGCAGGAAACCTATGTGTAGAAAGCATGTTATGTAGCTGTAACTGCTTGTAAGGAAGTTGGTGATGCCTAAAAGGGTTTCTCTTCCATGACCTATTATTATTATTATTAAACTGCTTTGGTACAGTTAAAATGCCCATTTATAATTTTCATCTTTTACAATTGGGATGCAAATATTTCATTTTTACATGACACGCTGCTTCCGATTACCATCTACTGTTATTTAGAAATGAAGTTACAGCTTGTGAATGGGAAGAGCACTCTCCATATGAAAGGAATATTTTATCCTTTGGTCGGATATTTATTGTTCATCTCTTTTACAAGGGAAGATAATAGCTTGTGATTGTCCTAGTCGAGAAGCACTCTTTGCTGTCTGGGGTTTGTTTCCTATTTGACTGTATGCATTAAAGGTGTGATATGTGCTTCTCATTATTACGCATTTGCTTTTGGACAGTAAAGTCGGAGTCAACTTTCCGATAACTTGATCTTTCAAACTTTCACAACTTGATCTTTCAAACTTCACAACTTGATCGACTAGCTCGTAATATGTGGTGTTGAATGCCATGCAGCGGTAGGGCACCATTTTATCATTGATGTTGTCGAGCAATAGTTGCGCTAAATGTTCTTGTCATTATGTCATGCTTATCACTGACTTGTCTTTCTTTTTCTTTTTCATGGTAAAGATAAATGGTACCGATTTTCTAGGTTTCTCTTGTGACTTTCTTGATAAAGTATTTCTTCAGTCTTAGTGAAGCTCTTAATGGAGTCATTAGCCATACTCGATTATGGGCAACATTTGCAATGAGCTTCTCGGCATTCTTACACACCATGGCTACTTTCTTTATTGTTGATGAGTTAACTAACTTGCATTTGTATATATAGGGAAGCAGGCTGCGCTACCCTCAGGTTTCACATATACCCAACCCTCCGAATTTTTTTGCACATTTGGCTTTGGAGTCGGCTGAAGTTTGTTCACTTTGATGACCCAGTTGTTGCTCGTACGCCTTTAATAGTTGTTGGGTTTTTGGCTGGTGTTATGGTTGAATGGCTAGAGGGAGCACCTTTTCCAACATCTACATCAATGCAGTCATTTACCACCATGGTCGTCATCAAGTTGGCCATATCATTTAGGTGAACATTGAGTTCGGTAAACTCTTTTTTTTTTTTTTTTTTTTTTTTTTTTTTTTTTTTTTGATATTATTTGTATATTAAACCCTAAATCATATTAGAAATCATATAAATTTTATAACCATTTTGAAACCTAAGTTTAAAACTTATTTAAACAATTTTAATAACCATTAGAAATCATAAAATGATTCGAGCACTTTCCTCTAGTATGGAATTAACTCATTTGAATTCATTTGATATGCATGCATGTCTATTCTAAAAATACATGTAGAGAGAAATTATAATATTTGGGTCACATTTAGAGCTAAGATCGTGATGGAAAAAGTTGTTGGACAGTTCAATATTTTTTATATTCTTGAAATGGTAAAAAAAATACTTTAGATTTTGGAGTTATTTGGTTAGAAGTAAAGTAGGTATAAAATATTTCAAATACAGGGGTTTTGAAAATATTTTTATTTGGTTGGATGAAAAAGAAATAAATGTAAAATGAATGAAGTAAATTTAGTGTTAATTATTTTAGTTTATTTTTTAAGGTAAAGTAAGTTTGCCTAGTTTTGAGCAAAATTTATTTTCACTGCAAGCAGCTCTCTTGCTGTCTGTCGTCTATGCCTGACCACCACCAATTTAAATTTGATAGGGAGATATCCGAACAAACAGGTTTAAGAAATTCAATTGAGAATGAGATCTCAAATGGACATATTTAATTGTAATCAGATCAGGACAATATTAAGGATCGTATCACTTGATCGACCAAAGTCCTAAAAGAAAGGATGTCATTGGAGGATAAATTTAATCAAGTGATGGAGATTTTTAAAGTTTACTAACTTTAGAATATCATTTTAGACCCAATTTATCATCCCGGCCCAGATCATCGTAGGAAACTTCAAGAAACATTGGCAATTTATAAAAACACCTGAAATTCTTTATTGATTTGATCTTTATCATATATAAATAATATCCATCATAACATCTCTTGAGATATCTCCCATTTATATGCAATATGATATGATCTCCTTCGCAATCAACCAACTGGTAGGAACCTCCTTTGTAGACCTTTTTCGCCACAAATGGATTGTAACAAAAATCTTTTAAAATGAAAAAGTTATGAAAATTTGAATTTCTATTTGAACTAGAACATTTTGGTGCTATGCTTTGTAGCATTGCGGTGCTATATTTAAAAGCACAATGGCAACAAAAAACACAGCTACAATATTTGAATCTATTTTCAATAGTAATTATGGATTCAACATGCAACGCTTTGACGGATTCATATATATAAGCATTAAAGTATCATCCAGCGCCACCTCCTTCCCATTTATTTGTCTTGCTCAAGAAGAAAAAAGAGGGAAAGGGAGAGAGTTTTGATCTTTTTCATCCATTATTTCAATTAGGAAAAATCTTTTGATATTTGTAAGTTACCTAAATCTTATTTTAGTTTTCAATTATTTGAGTTTGATGGATTAATTCTCTCCTAAATTGATAAAAATGCATTTTCTCATTATTTAACGAATTTTTACCATGCAACTTTTCGTATATGATAGCTTTGGATTTTATGAACATTTTAACTATAATATTATTGAATTTTATTGGGTAAAATGAAAGTTATGATTTTCTGAAATTAATGTATTGTGTAAAGATTTTTCGTACATTTCTATATTTCATAGGCCAATGCATTTCATACATGATATTGGCTTGCATATTATTGAGAAAATGATATTGATTTAAGTTGCATGTGATATTTATATAATGAAAATATTAAGATCGATGCCCAACTGGTTGATATTTGGGGGCCAACTTGAGATTGATGACCAACTAAGTGATAGTCGGAGTTGAATTAAAATTAATGAACAACTGGTTGATAGTTAGGACCAACTTGAGATTGATGACCAACTAGTTGACAGTTGAGGTTAAAGTATGACTGATGACCAATTGGATGACAATTGGGTAGAAGGATGATCGATAATATTAAAGTTGGATGTTATGTCTTGCTAATCATATAATGAAACATGTATGCATTGATAATATTGATAAATATAACTATAATATGTAGCATTGATAGATAGATCATGATGGATATAAATACATATATAGATTGCATATAGTTCATATGATTGAATAGATAATGCTAATAAGACTAGTGATATTGATGCTTATATGTTATGATTATTCTACTGATTTATGAATGATTTTAATATGATTGATTTATGAATTTATTGATTCTCGACTACTGATTATCAATATGATTTTTGGTTTTTGTTTTTTATCATTTTGAGCCTTGTGAATGATAATTGATCATTTATGAGATTGAATGTTATTAATTATATTAATTAAATTGAGAATGCATATAGATTCTTTAAGTCTTACATTGAAAACATTAGTGAATTTGAGTTATTGTTGGGCTTTATCATTCATTATATTGATTTTAATGATTTCAGGTTAGGGAAGGAATTATGATTAGGATTAGGTGGAGTGAAGTTGTCAGTGATCCTCATATTTTCCTTATTGTATTTTATATTTCTTTTATTCTTTTGTAGTCAAGAGCTATTGATAGATTAATGATTCTACTGATCTTTTGACTATTATATATAATTTTGATAGTGAATATATAGAATTATTTTTTAAGTATATAATTTTAGATGCTTACACTGGATATATTAAAGATTTATAGAAGCTCTAGTATATTATTAGAAGATTAATTAGATAATTCTTTCAAATTTAATCTTGGGATGTGAAATGGACCTTCCTAGGTTGGCTCGAATTTATCACCCATCCTCTGATGAGCCAAGATAGGCCTTCTTTGATCAAGGACCAAGTCTCATACTTAGTAAGTTCTCAGATGAACCAACTTATCATGTGCTTGAATCATTTTAGCATTATATAACTTGAGATTATGTTGAACTTATAAATGCTTCTCTTCTAGACCTTCAAGTTCATCTACTATGACTTTAACATTTTGTTCTTCTGTAATTTTATAACTTACTATAATGCATAATAAAGGTAGTTGTTCCTCCAAAGGAAAAACAAACTCAGCTCCAAAAATCTATTTACTTCACAATAAAGATAAAAAATGACAAAACTCCTCTAACTCCCTAAAAATACACAACTCCCACTACCTAAAAATAAAATAACTCACTCCTATAAAAATCAATCTGAACTTCATATCAACTCAACTAATATATACCCAAAATAACACCAAATACAAAAATAGATAATAAAATCAAACTGGACTAGACCTCCACTACCTATTAGAAATCTCAATGTTATGAAAATAGATCCTACTAGCTATCATGCCATCCACCAGCGCTCAAAATATGTCAGAGAATTCTTCCTAGTTAATTAAAGAATTTAATTTCTCCTCCTATGGGCCCATCCACCTGCGCTCTGCCTTTCCATCTAATAGAAAAACTATCAATGATACTTTTCTCTCAAGATGACACTACATATTGTTATACAGTTAAATATCTTCTCCAACCTCATCAATCAGTCCTCTGCTACCCTAGGCTCAATAATGCCCTTAAACATCACAGGCTTCAATCTTGAAAACATATACAAATGTTTATTTGTATCACTAGATATAACAGTAGGAACTCTACTCTATGTGTCACCCATTATTTGTATTATTAGACTAGGAAATTATGAAATAATATCAGAACTGAGTATTAGAGTTATACTATGTATAGGTGCTACCTGATTAGCACTCTGCCATCTGTCATATCTAGGTCTAGTACATCTATATCACATAGAACCACTACATGATACACATACACATGAAAATAAATAGAGAATAACACTCATACAAACTCAAAACTACCCTGCTAAACTTATATACCAATTCATATAACTTCATTTTATGATTCATTATCCAAAACTATTATTCTGATACCACAAAAAATTTACCACAACCCAACTTAATGGATAGATCCTATCATGTTGAGTTGTGATAAGCAAATCACAAGATAAAGTTTTGGAATGCTTCAGATTTCATCTTCTTATATACATTATAAAATAAACAACAAATTAGGGAGTTCCTAAAAACATCCAATGTATTGAAAATAAACTCA